ACTTAATTTAACGCTTGCGAATTGGGCACACAAATATTAAAAGTTTTGAATAAATATAGATATTCTATATCGTTTTCCATTTTAATCTTTTAAAAGGATCTGCCCAGTATATGTTAGTCACTTACTCGATCAACTGTACTCAATTGTCTAGAGAATCCGGAGACTCGTGTTCACAGTCCGTCCCGAAACATCGGAATGTGCGAACCCAGCCTTTTAAGACACGTAGAATCGTGAAAATCGAATAGCTCCCGCATGCGTTTTCCCTAATACTTCTCTGAGTCAACACATTCGTAAGAAATGTAATATTTATTATGATTATGGCGCCATTTGTTAAGCCATAATCTACTATTAAATGAATTGAGCTCAACTTTTTTATAGGACACTAAGAAGACGACATAGGTACTTGCAAGCTGACCAATTCGGATTACTACCATTTAAAAATACATCAATATCTGTACACAAAAAGAAAACAAATATATTAAAATTTTGTATATTGATTTTTATATAAAAACACATAACAATAAACAGAAGTACAATATTTACATTAATAAAGTTATAAAATTTCAAAATCTACTGGATATAAGTTTTGTTTAAAATTTCAATGAAATATAATAAATTAGTTATTAATAATAATTGTTTTCTTTTATTGTTAAAAATGTATTACTTCTTATAATCATAATGGTTATTTTCAATAAATCAGGCAGTAACCAAGTACGTAATAGTGTAATCGACTGAAACTTGATAAATCATATTAGAAAATTTTACGTTTAAATTTTAAGGATTACAGCTGAATATTGAATGTTTTTTCGAATAATCGATAATCGACTATCATTACACCGCTAATCTATATTTAAAAAATGCTGCAATTGGTTTTCTACATGCACAGACATTATTGTAAATTATATACTATAAAACTAAAGACGAGCCTTTAGAAATATTGAATATTTTACTCGGGCTCGTGAGAGAACAGACCTCCCAAACTCTGCCACCCCTTAAAGCTACCTATGGTTTACTGTAATCATTTATAGACATGTTAAGATTTTAAACAAGTTTTAAAAGTAATTTTTATGTAGAATGCAAAAAGAAATAAAAAAAAAAAAAAAAAAAAATAGTGATACTAAATAAATCATAACTAAATACCCATATAATATAGGTATTTAAAATAAAGTAAATATTGGTTATATAATGAAGTATACGGGACTACAGTAATTATGATTTAGTTTTGGATCGAATATGATCATGTCTGGTAGGAACTTTTGAGCGGTTATCGCCTTGATTATGAACCGACTGGAATGCTAGGCATCCTATTCAAATATTAGAACGGTCCTTGGTATAGAGAGCATATTTATAAAGCGGGACTATTTTGGTGTCTAGTGTACTCGTCTATGAAATGAAGTGATTAGATTAAGCTAGATTATATTATTTCACTCATTATAAATGCTGACAGGTTTAATAATATTTATGACTAATTTTTTAGCAATAATTATCGCACTGATTTTTTTCACCTACTTTTTCAACCATGTCTTTAGTACTTATGTTCAGTATTTTTTTTTTAAGCGAACATTTTGGCGCGCGGCGCACATTTAAGTAACACAATACTATTTTTTACGAACATGTTCAACAAAAATGTTCATTCTATAGTGCAGACCTGAATTTAAGAATTAGACAACAGATAAATTACCAACACTTAGACCATTTATAATTTTCAATAATTTTACATTCAAATATTAGAATTTATGTTTAACGAAATTAGTAGCTGTTGAAGTTGATACGAAATTGGTGAAATTGATATATGCCTTTATTTACTGATTCTAAGTTGCCAATTAATGTGTTTAACTAAAAATAAAAAATATATATATATATTATATACTTTAAACATTTTACAATATTGCTGTATTAAATTTAAATTTTTAAATTTTAAAAGCTTACAAATAACACATAGTATATTAAAACGTTCAAACGTTGTAAAAAATAAAAACATTTGGTTTTTTATGTTTCTTTACACTAAAATCGAATTATATTTCTGAATATTTGTATTTTTCTTTAACGATTGCTTTATTCGATTAAAAATATTTTTATTCTTAAAAACTAGTTGTAAAAATGTTTATAAATGTATATAGTAGTGTAATATTTTCTATTCGTATAAATGTGTTGTTTTTATAAACAATAAAAATATTTAAAATATGATATTGAATCTTGCACTTCCTTTTTAATATTATATCTTTTATATTTTTTTTTTTTTTTTAATTCATAAAATTACTAATAAATGTACTAATCATGCATAAGATATTCACAGAATCCTCATATTTGTACATCGATCGAACAATTCACAACAAACTTCCATATACAATTAATCATAGAGATTCATTCAAAATTATTAAAAAAAAATACACTTAGGTTTCTAAAGAAAAAAAATATTGTACCATGACAGGTTTATAGCATTAATAAATTATTTTAATAGAAGACGATTTTGGTAATTATTTATAGTTGTATTGCTTTATATTATAATATTTTACTGCGCGATTGTGTAAATAATGTTAAATTATAAATGAATAATAAAATACACGTACTTATTTATTTATTTGTTTATTTATATTAAACGGCTTTTTAGAACCCTTTATCAAAATACAAAATAATTTTGTATATACTTTCTGCTTAACTTAATAATGATATAACTTAAAAAGATTAAAAATATATGAATAACAAAATTAAAATAAGTATGTTTTAGTAAGTATTACAATAATAATAGTGATAAAGCATGATTAAGTAAAAATTAATAAATCTATATTATACATATAATAAGAGACCGCCCCTATTCATTCATCATCACCCAGACCGAACCTCAGAGTCTAGAGACTTGAAATTTTGTATAGAGGTTTTTTAAGCAATGTAAGGGCGCACAAAGAAAGAATTTTTCAAAACTGGACCTCTAAGGGGGTAAAAGAGTGGTTTTTTAAAGTTTGTATAGATTTTATATAGCTATACATGTATTTTTTTCCAACTACTATCGCTAATTAAAGAACTGGTATTAATAAAACCAGTCACAGGTAATCGGCGACCCGCGATTGCAACACACAATAATTATTGGTACCAGCGGTTGACGGTCCAAGTCCAAAGATAATGTGAAATAAGTGAAAATTTACTAGGTACATCTACTGTTGATCGTCGATCCTGTATAATCTAATAGTGCTAAAACAATTACCACACATAATTAAATTGTGAACTCCATATAATATTAGCATTATTAATACAATTAAATTAAACACTAAAATACGGCCTACGAAAATGCAAAAAAGAAACTATTTTTCTTCATAATACACGGGAAATTCCGTGTCGGGACAGCTAGTATAACAATAAAACAAACATAAAAACCAAGAAAATAACTAAATATTTTATGAAAATCAATTAAAAAAGTACATTTAAGGCTATATTAACATTCTGTCTGAATACATTACGCTTACGCGGTATGGATAAAAAAAAAAACCAACATATACATTATACAGTTCGCTAATAACAGAGCTCTGGAGAAAAATGAGGTGGAATTATAGTTATTTTTGTATAAATTTTCATGAAATAAGTTGAATTATTTTAATCGGTGAGTGAAATTATTAAAACTAATCAGAAATAGTAATTCCGGAAAATTAATAATATAATATTATAAGTTATGTGTGAATATGATATCCACAATTATCCCCAAGTCACAAAACGTAATCTCCAATTTGATTATCTGTACGTTATATGAATATCTTAAAATGGGTTTATTCAATTTAAAACATTATAGTCTTAATCATTTATACAGAACATTTTTAATAACATTTATTTGCACACTTGACTCAAACTCGAGATTTGACCTATCCATGAAAAAGTATACAGTTTTCAAAGTGCTATTTATTATATTAATGTTTTAATTTTATAAAAAGTTGTAAATTTTATTTTATTAAATTTATAATTTAAAACGTTAACTTATGGGTCTCCACGCAAATATTTTTAGTAGATGCGTTTATATTTTTAATGACTAAAATCAATTTGTACTTAATGGCGTTTACACATATAACATTTTAATAAAAAACAAACATACATTTATTCTTGATCAGAAGTCTAATAATAAGTAATAAATAAATATTATATATAAAGAACAAATTAAAAATATATTTAAACACCATAATATTAAGTATCAAAGTTACATCAATATGAAGTACACGATGCATTCTTAACACAAAATCCTTTCTAAAATTTCCTGAAAACTTTTACAATATTCTTGTTTAACACATTCTCATTGCCTAAGATTATTCAATGGACCGTTACTAATACTTACTATGAACTACTCTAACAACGTGAAACATGGGAACTAATGTTGATAATTAAACACATATATTTTATCCAGTAAACAAAAATATAATAATGTAAACATAATTGAAATATGGCAACATGTATTTTTAACACTTAAAATATCTATATTAATTTAAACATCAACAAAAAAAGTATATTTATATTTTTAACTATTAGAAAGAAAAAAAAATATTAATGTACAATGAATTAGTAAACATTTGTTATTCATGGACTTAGATTCTAATGATTATGTTAAAATAAAAACTAGGAAATATATTCTGCTATGTAGAATGTTTCAAATATATCTTGTCATTAAATAAATTGTCAGATTCCATTTCTAAGAAAATCTTATAATTGATCTATGGAAAAATTTAAAATTTATTTTTCTATACGTAATACGGTACATTAAACTTTGATATTTAGGGAAAACTCCATAATAAACATTAGTTATATACTAATAAATAATTGCTTATTTTAAATTTTTAGTAGGGGTTGAGTTATAAAAAAGTAAATAACATAACATTAATAATTTCAGCACTAAAACAGTTAAAATATAATATACAGAAATATTATATAAAAAAAAACAAACAAAAAAAAAAAAAAATGAAAATATTCTTAATTATAATTATTTTAACAATTATTAAGTTATTATTGGTATTTTTTTTTTTCAGGGATCATCGTCAACAAGGAATGTAGTTTGGGTTCATAATGGAATTCCTATATATAATATTAAAAATAATAAGAAAGATGATCCTAGTCCAATTATGGTAACTACTGAAGTCATACAACCTGACAATACCATTCAGAGTAGGTTATTTATTCGAGGGGCATCTCCGTCAGCTTTGGGAAATTACACATGCACAGCACCATACACCGAACCTGACACGGTCAATGTTTATGTGAGCGAAGGTAAGATATTTCAAAACTGAAAAAATAAGTGGGCAAGTGTATATTGCTCTGCTATATAGTTGGTGTAGAGTAGGTCACTGTAATGGATATGTTAAATTTGAATTCAATGATATTATATCATAATATACGAAAAAATATTCTTAACGGAAACGATCTGTCAGCCCACATCACTAAGTGCATTTCATAATGTGTTTTTGATATTTTTATTTAAGTAATTTATTTTACTATTAGTTTGATTCAAAGTTTACTAAAAAACATTAAATTTAATATATTATTGTTATTATTGATAACATATTAATTTTTGAGTTCACACCACCTTATCGTAATAGTGTAAATAGGTTAATGATATAAATAAGTTATATCTTAAAATTAGTTTACACATTATGAAAAAAGTTAATGCATACAATTATAGATATTTGAAGTTAATAGATAATATTTTAAAAATAATGGTTTAGAACAGAATCTATTTATTTTTTTCTAAAATGTGTAGTAAACATTTTTTTAAATATTTATAATACTGGATAAACACAAAAAAACATTATATTATAGATTAATATTATTGAAACTTCAATTTTTTTATTTTTATTCGATTTTACAGATACAACACTTTCATTCAATTCGTTTGCTGTTAACTGTTTGTAAAAAAAATCTATACTTAAAATAAAAATTTAAATATTCAAGAATTCAATTAAATTACATAAATAAAATCAGTTATTTCTTAAATACTCATTTAATATTATTATATTTTTAATAACTTAAGTTAAAAGTAAAATGAGATTTTTTTTACATATTTTCGATAGTCTGTTTGGGGAAAAACATAGTAAATCGTAGACATTATATTAAAATATTATGATTCACCGTACTTAATTGTTATCTTCTTCAGTTTTATAAATTAGTATTAACTAAGAATTTTTTCAACAAAAAATGTTAAAGACATATTATATTAAAAAACTATATAAGTTTTCCTGATGGGTAACGATAAGTTCATTATAAATAGGCATTACAAATATAATAAATAGCTGTAAAAATTGAACAAATTACGTTTTTTACGAAATTCTTAAATCATGCAATATTTTCATTTATTTTAAATTTAAAAAAATAAAATATTTTTAATAATTATTCCATTTCTTAAAAATTTAATTTTTTAATAACATTTGTAAGTGTATCAATTATATAATATGTATTATTATTATTGCTATTTTAAGTTATTCTATATTAATATATATATATATATATATATATTTGTGTGTAAGCTAATTAAATGTGTATCCCTTTACAATTTCAATTTATTGTAGCCCAAACTAGTTTTAGGTGATATTTCTATTACGTAGTTATTCAGTTATAATTATGAACAGAATATTATAATTAACCCATTTTATATTGTTGAGAAAGTGATTTATGCATTTGTTAGTTATTTCTAATGATATATATTAATCCGGGTAGATAATATATGTCTTCTAAACCACTTTATCTGTATACAAATCTTTTAAAAATCTACTTATTTCATATGTAATAGTTAACTGTTTACTTTTTTCAATAAGAATATACTTAAAATAAATCATAAGTCGCGAAAAAAATTATCAGACATCAATATTTGTTATTGAAAACATAATTTTATAATTATTTGTATAGGCTTAGCCACTAAAACTCAAAATGAATGATTAAATTATCAAAAAATAATTTTAATTTGGGATAGTTAAAACTTTTTTTAATATAGATAAAATTTGTTCAAAATAATCTTTACGTAGATTTTCTTCATAATTAAAAAAACTAATAAAGAATGAAGTTAAATGAACTTTAAAAAATTTTAAAAAGATAACACTACAGTAACACTAAAAATTTTGCTTCATTCAATATCTAAAATAGGATTTATTCTCAGACAAATTAAACAAAATTTTTATAATTCATTAATAATATATTAAAGATTAGTACAATCAGCATATTATTATGTAAATAAACAAAAATATACATACAATGGGGGTGACCCATCATTAAAATAATTGTTGATGTATTTTTATATTTTTTTTGTTCTTACTTTAATTAATAGGCTTACAAATATATAATATATGAACTAGTTTATGATTTTTATGAATATTGTTATTATTGCATTCAAATTTAAATTTGTAGGTAAATTATTCAGAATTATTCAAGCTATAGCTTTTTAATTAATATTTATTAATTAGAGGATATTTCAATGAAAAGTATATTCATTATTAGTATTTCTCTAAAATAATTTCTAACTATAATATATTTTTTTTATTATTTATTTATTATAACTTTATTTAGAAAATATTTGAAATTAAAATAATATACATTGTTGTAATTTTAATCATAACTTATGTACATACTGTTAACTTACATTTTAAGTATTATTAATGAAAATACAATTGTATTGTGATTTAATTATTTTTGAATTAATAATTTATTCATTAAGATAAAATAATAATTTAATAAATATAGAATATTTTAAATATAGCTTATTATTTACATAAAAGTTTTTGAAATAGTATTTTTAACAGTTTCCAAAATAAAATAAAATTATAAATAATCATTATAAGCACACAAATACTTCATTTTCTTAACTGACGAGTATGGTTTACAACTTTAATATTTCCAATAATTGATTAAGTTTAACATTTATATTGTAATACGAATACATTATTATATTACTTGTATTTGCATAAATCTATAGATTTGTTTCATGATCTTAAATTTAAATATTTGGTATGATATATTTTTTAAATTTATAAAAAAAAAAAATGATATATATATATATATATATATATATATATATGTGAAAATATAAATAACACTTTGGAACGTAAGTTTTTTTTAATAACATGAAAAAGAGAGAAAAAATTAACTACTGTTACAGTTGGTATTAAATAAAATTATAGGTACCTTGTTATTGAGTAAATCATTAATCGGTATGAGAAGAATTAAATTTGAATTGATAAATCAAAAATGATTCTAAATAGAGATGGTCTGTCAACATATATTATTAAGTTTATTTTATGGTATAAGTAATATCAATCTTTTAGTAAATTATTTTATTATTAATAATACAGTAGGTTAAATTAATTTAAACCAAAAACAATATATTTAAAATGTAATTAAAAGTATAAATACGTAGAATAATATACATTAAAAGTTTCAAGTACAAACGAACGATATTTTAAATTACCACAAGATATCTGGAATCGTTAAATCACTTAAAAGCGTGTAAACTATATTTTCAGTATAGTTTTTTATTTTATTTTTTTTTTTTTTTTGCTAGAAAAAAAAGGTATTTTTTCGAAAACAAATCTTTACTGTCAAAATATTTTGTAATATTTATATACTACAATTTTATCATGTTTAAAAAAATGTTGATATACATATTTTTGAAACATTTTAAGTATTTACGATTATTGATTTTTAAATTACTTTAAAAAAAACAAAAACTATTTTTTTTCAAAGACTGGTTTTGTGTAAAAATTTCGATTTTTACTAATTTTTTTGTTTTTATTTTTAACATATTAAAAAATATTTAATATTTTTCATTTTAACTTTTCAAAATTATAAATTAGATCTTATTTACTACCAAAAACTATATATAATTTTGGTTATTAAAAAAAAAAATGTTTATAAATTGTCTACGTATACAAAAGAAAATATAGTTAATTGTATAATCAATTAATTATCACTTATCTAAAATCTAAAATGATGAAAGCAAATTTTTATATTAGCTAAAACCTTTTAAAAATGGTAATGAATTGTAAATATTTAACTGCTTTTTTTATTTAATTATTTATCTATCTATTAACATAATTCTGTATTCTCACAAAATTAGTTTAAATAATTTAAATTTTAAGCATTTAAAATATAATTTGTGTTTTTACACTTTTGAGAAACCAAAGACCAATACCTACAAATTTAGTTATAATAATTATTATTTATTTCTCTTATAACTGGTTTTACACCAACAGCTAAATAAATAATTATTACTAACTTACGATTAAAAATATTTATAGATAGCATATTTCCAAATTAATTGTTAATGTATCTCAAATTAATTATTTATTATTAATGTATAATATTTATATATATATATATATTCATTAGGGGGTCTTTATTTTTATAGGCAATAATATAATATTATATATTATATATTTTGAAAAGTTAACACAGTATCTTTTTATTTCGTTAAGTTACACGATTAAGTAATTTTGGTAAAATTTAGAAGGTGTCACTGTTCTGGTATCGCATTAGGGTGATATATGATAAAAGGGGGTAGTTTTCTTATAATTTTATTTAATTCAAAAATTATCGTACTTAGTGCATTTAAGAACCTTAATTATATACTTTAATATTGTCTATAAAAAATCACTTGACAAAAATTATCATAAGTTCATTATTTTTTAGGAAAAATTGATAATATCTAAGTATTATATTTATGTATTGAAATTGTTTTTTTTTCAGTTAATTAAATAAATATAAAGTCCGTTTATATATATTAAGACAAAATATCTGATATGATTATAACTCAATTTTGGTTAAGGCTTAAGTAATTATAGAATCAAGATAACTATATTGGGATTAAAATAATTCATAAACCATATCACTATTGATCCAAAAACTGTTTTTTTTTAAGGGAAAATAACTCGAACAAAAATTAGCTGTAAAACCTAAGTAAATATTAAAGTGTTCGAAAGTTCTCAAGTTATGACTTAGATTGAAGAACTTATTTACGCCTCAAGTGGTAAATAAACTTTTCCTTGTGGTACTAAGAGGTTTATATTTTGCTTTGTGAAAAAAAGACATATAAAAATTATCTGCAACTAATTCTTTTTTTTTTTTTTATACAAATCGCAAACATATTTATAATTATTATAAACATTATTTAATAATAAAAACATTTTCTTGAACTAAACTAATTTATTTAGATTTTACTAATTATAGTAATAATTATAAATTTTAAAATATATAGTCAAACTTATCCAATTCGATAATAAATATTG